ATGGGGGTAGCAGGACGTTCGAAAGGTGGGACGCCGCATATCTAGACGGTGATGAGATCAGGGCGTGGGTTGCATCTTTGGATTGATGTTTCGGGTGCAAATGGCACGCTCTCGCGTGTGTCAACGGATTCGATTTTTTCCGTGGAGATCGTTCGTTCCAGGTTTGTTGAGATCCCCCACTGCCGTCATTGAAATACACCTTGGAGTTTGCACAAGCGTCTCTGCACACCCCGCGACGAGTGGACTATCCGCTAAGACTGGCGAGTGCCGGGCACTGGGCAACTTCGTGCTCTACTGGTCGAGCACACAAGATCGACAAGACGTGTAGAATCCGTTATTCATCTTCCAAGGCTCAACCGAAATTCCTTCCCCAGGGAACCGTTGTCCACGCCATCTTTCCATACAATTTCATGCACGCTTTTCCGTGCGACGTGGCTGGCAGCCTTTTGAGGCCCAAGCCTTCGCGACCTACATGGCTGGCAGCACCTTGTTCGTGGACGTTTGGGATGCGGACGCACTCATGCACATAGGGACTCTTGCGATGCCTCTCCGGGAACTCATGCGGCAGCAGAAAGGGGTAGTGAAGACGGCAATGGTGAGCAAAACAATAAGGGAGAGTTCCAGCAATGGGTTTCGCGAATATCGTATCTGCTGGAACATCGATAATCAACGGGGAACAAAGGGAAAGTTCACTCTCACTACAGTACATGCAATGTGCTTGGAGTCCCGTTCGTCAAGTTTTCTAGAACATTTTCATAAGGTTGAATGGTACACGTTGGACTCCTCATCACTAGAATCGACATCAGAGTAGGAGCTTCACCTCTTCTGCTCGGAACTCTCCACGGAATGAGCACTCTTCAGGGTCAAAATGAAGCAAGGTATTTTGTGAACTCTATATTTGGGGTAGGGAGTCAGTTCATTTTTCTTCGCCTTCGTGTTTCTCGCATCAGCATGTTCCTGTCTGCCAGACAGTCTAATTGCGAGGCTTTGGTTTTCATGACCGAGTGAAATGAGCAGGCTCCATTCATTAGGTGTAAATCCTGAATGAGACGACATTGTTGAGTAAAATTTCCGGAGTCCACCGAATGAACAGAGTCTAACGATCAGAAGGTTATATCAAACGCCACGGAACGATATGATTCACTTTCGTCACATGATGTCATGTCCAGGACCTCAGTTTTCACGACATCTAACCGTGCGCCGCGCATGAATAGTTGTTGGCTCCCTGCCTTCGAATGCTCGGCTTCGTATTTCATACCAGATCCAGTTACCATTCACAAGTTTCTAGGAAAAGCTTACACGGTTTCATTCGATTACGGGAGTGAACTACCACTTCTTCTTGTTTCTTTTGTTCAATAAGGACTAGTCGTGAACACTGCACTTACAATCTACCCGAGAGTTGTTCGGGACCTCGTCTTCCGTTTCATTACAACCGCCACACACGATTTCAGTGACCGCAACTCAGCCCCAAACAAGGTGCGAATATTATGGATTTTCCGAACGAACATTGGCACACACACCGTCCACCGTTTCTGTTGGTCTATTCATATTTCCCAGGAGTACGAGATAGTGGCTTGTACCGCCGCGGCGGACAACAGTGGGAGCGGGAGTGGCGTGGCTGTGAAGCATGGGGCTGTCGGGAAAGGTCCTGTTGTTGGGCTGATCCAGGTGAGTCAATGTACGCCGTCGATATCTGGCGGAACACGTTCCGTGATGATTCCCTGCGGACGTGACAGCCCTGTGCTTGACTTGTAAGGACGAAAGAGTGAAAATCGGTTGATATTTGGCGTGGACGGGTGTGTTGTTTTGCAAGCAGCAGAGCTAGATATTTTGCTTGAGAATGGCCCGTTCCCTGCTTGTTTCTAGATGGCAACAGCATTGTGAATGATGAGGGTCCCGTAGATAAATTAAGAAGTCACGGGTGGTTGATCCTTTACGGTGCTCTTAATCGCTGGATTGCCGAGCTATTTCTCATGGAGCTGCCATGCACCTTGCTTAAGCACCAATTACATGCCTCCGACCTGGCCAAAACATTACGGTGTATTCTCCAGTTCCTTCGGGTGCCACATCAAGCCGAGATTTATCCCGAAAGAGTAGTGAAGGTGCACCTTGTGTATTCATTCATGGGGGCGGAGACCAAGGTGTCGCTAATTGAAACATATTTCCTCATGGCTGTGAACTACATCACAGCCCACCACACTCGAAATACTATCGGGAATCTGGCTTGTATTCTTGTTAACCTAGCCGGGCGAAAGACACACAAGCACGAGCGTGTTCGTAACGACAGTCACAGGCTGCACCCGGCACGTTCCAGTTTGGAGGTTCCTTCGACACCTTTGACCTCTTGCTTATCAAGAAGTGGCAAAATGGCTATGCATGTCTGCCGTGTCGAAAATTTCACTGCTGCTTGCAGATCCTCGCCAGCAACTATGGCGAGCCTGGCAAGGGGGGCGATCTCCCCGCTTCGGGCGCTGTTCCTGCGACCGTGCACCCCATGCTCTCGGGCTCAAACATTTGCGGTGATTGGCGGATGGCATCGGCACCTGTGGGAGGCGGGCATGGGTCGGGACATCATGGAACACGGCCTCGGCATAAGGTTTCTCTTGACAGCAAGTAGTCACGATGTTCACAACTGCAATGCCGGTTTTCATGGAAAACTTCTTGATTGCTCATATCTCGCCATATTCTGCAACAAATCGACACGTCTGCAACAAATCGACACGCGTGTACATGGTGCATGATTGGCAGTACTTGTACCATCTGCAACATGTTCAACTCTCACTTTTCGGGGAAACATACGTTTAGTATAATACAAACACTACGCTTCACCACGGTTATCTTTGGAGAATGTACCTGCACTGTGCTGTATTGCGGAGGCAAGCCCGTTTCGCGTACATTCCCGTAACATTATTTCCGTGAAGCTAGGTTCTCCGGATAGATACTAGGTCACCGTGGGTTCAAGTGCAATGCGTTATTCTGATGAACGCCTTCCAGGGTAGGCACAGTTGAACTAATATCCAGCATTGGGGTTGACAAGTCGACCGAATCGATTTCTTGAGCTCAAAACTGACACTGAAAACATAGACGATTCCAAAAGGTACAGCTTTTGCTCTGATTCAAAACCGAGTAGACCGAACCTGTCCTAGCCAGACATTTCGCTATGTTTCAGATGCTACCTAAAGCGTGACGAATCAGGTGTCCTATCTGCTACCCTTGAATCATTGTCAAGGTACGAGCGCGTCCCCTCGCGGAAACGAATCCGGAGATTTCGAAGTACATGGAAGCTGTTTCTGGCCCTGGTTCCGGCGGCGGAATGGTCATTTCAAGCCTTGGGCGGACAGGAAGGGGCGACCCTGACGCCGATAGCATGGGATATGATGAGGTGGGTGGGTTCTACATATGTCGTCCAGGTTTCCGCACTAAGCCCCATTACAAGGAGAGGGCGTGTGTTGTCCTCTTGGGATCCCTGGGGAACAGACAAGACGGAGGTTTATGGAGTACAGAAGCGTCGTACAGGCGCTGCAGTGAAACCAAACACCCCCGAATCCTGCTCGAAGTCGACGCAGGCAGCACGGCCTCCAAGTTTATGGGCATGCTTGTCCAGTTAATGATGGACGTTGACGTAGCAGTTGAGCTGGCTTGATATCACGTGAAATACTGTGTACAAGACGACGAACGTCCTCACAAAGCGTGCTCCCCGGTGGATCGAATATTTTCCTATTTGGTCGGATGCTCTTGGGGAATCTCCACCCGCAAAAGCTAATGCTGTTGGTGAGACGATTCCGAGGATCGGTGAAAGGCAAGGTTTGGTACTCAGGCCCATTGCTCAAACTCCTCGACGTGCCCGGGCGCAAGCAACTGGAGCAGCGGTTGGTGCGAGCTGTAGAACGTTCGGAAAGGTGAGTGCTAGAAGTGAACCTGGATCGTAGGTGACGAGTCTGCAGCACCTCTGGTTTGAACACCAACCCAAAACATGGTCTGATGAATTGAAAATTGTATCAAGACTACTTTCATGGTGCTCGGCCGCTTGGGAAAATGGTGATCCACACACCAAGTCAAAATGTCTTCTCGTCAACAAAGCCTCACGAATGCCCTTACGTGTTGTGGTATGGACGCATACAGCCCACGAGTAGAATACGGTAGTAGCGGACTCGTTCAGTCGTACCACGTCGTCCTCGCCAGGTAGTCATCTGGGCGCACAATATCACAGGCGTCGAGACGGCAGTTTCAGCCTGTTGGTCGGTGACGCTCGGGTGAAGAAAAGCGCCCGAGCCCTAGTCGGGTGCGCCGGGGCCGAGCACTTGAAGGGATTCGAAGTTCAGGCATGTTTTTTTGATAGAGTGTGATGGACCAGGTAATCTTTCGGTTGGCACTTCTCTTTGCGTCGCTTTTGATGTGTACGATGGGCAGAGATGAGTCTCCCGCGCTTATGCCGGTTCGTTTGCATGGATTCATTAGGTCTGGTCTTGGCTTAGCGGAGGCTTTCCGAGAAATGGATCAGAACAGGACTGGTGAAATCAGGTGCGGCAGAACGAGGATGACCGGCCGCTCGATTGAGTGTTGAAGGGATATTTCGATGAACGAGGGGTTATATTTCAACCCAAAAATCTGCTGGTTGCTATTCAGTGCAGGATTGACTTGTGCTGACTGTGTCACTTCCTTTTCGGGGTTTCATCTCATGTCCACTGATGGCAATATCCCTAGTCCATCATACACGGAGTCGGAACAAGAAAGAGGTGTAACGGGCAACCTCCCAATTGAAATGGAATACTGGCAAGGACACGGTATACCAACGAACCTGTCCTGGCATTTGCACAGATGAAAAGGGATCAAGGATGTTAGGGTATGTTTGGTTAGTTTCCCTTTCACGGTCAAGATGTGAAACGAACCAAGAGTCCGTGAGTGTCGCGGGCACGTGGGCCAAATCGCACATCGGGCCCAATCGTTTGGCACCCCGCAAAACCTGCAGCACACACGAGCTAGAGGAAGTCTTCTGGGGGATGCTTTCGCCCGGAGAGATGGCGAGAGAGCACCTGAGAGCTTTGGTGAAGGGCATGGATCCGGGCGCAACGGGGAAGATAGGGCTTAGAGAAGTGGTGACCTTCGTCAGCGCGAGGCAGGGCGGGGGCGGGGCAGGAAGGGCCGCGAAAGCCGCCGAGACGGCCCTGAAAAGGTACGCTTGCAACGTTTTCAACGACGATCACGCCAAGGTTTGGGAAGATGGAACAGCTGTTGCTTTCTTAGCGTCGGAGTATTCATTTTCAAAGTCACAAGACGGCTTCAAGAGGCAACCAGTTTCGGCCCCATGGCAATTGAGCGATAAATGTTGGTGATATAGTCTACATAATGCCAAGTACGCTCGATGGCGACGTTCAAAAGTCGAGCATCGAAATTGCGAGGGCTGGGAGCAATTTGATCGTCATATTTTCCGACCAGCTCTTGTTCGGTGAACTGTACAACATTACCGGCGACCAGTCTTACTCTCTCGGGCCTAGGTTCCTTGATAAAGGGCTACCCCTTGAGCGATAATAAAATGTAGTTTTGAAAGAGAACAACGAGGGCGCGTTGACCGTCTTACCCTTCTTCCTGCCAAAATTTCCGATGCCGTTTTGCGCCGTTGGCAGAGCTCTTGCTAGGGCGGAGCTCGGGGGCAGCTCGGTGGAGGAGGCATTTTCCCTTTTGGACAAGCAGGGGACGGATTCGGTCAGCCATGCCGACTTTTGGGAGGTGATATGGGGCCCAGAAAGGCACACGGTTTATAATATACGAAGTATGAGAGAGTACGAAAAGGGCTTGCAGGTCGCGCAAACATAGAAATTACAGTCGAGTGGGCCAGCAGAGGTCGACAGCCGCACCGGGTTCCACCGCACGTTGATGCTTGCTGGTCACCGCTCTTCTGTGTTCCGCCGATAGGTGTCAACCTTCGTAGGACCCTGGGCACGAGTTATTTCAACGTTTCGTACCTTGTTTGTGCAGTGAAACCGTGCCCGGCCTCAAATATCAAGGGATCGATAGCCCGTAAAACCAAGCATTATCACATGTGAATCGGTCACCGTCTCTTGCTCCGACTCGACTAGGCTGTTCGCAACCTGGGAGGCGTGCCGGGGTTGGTGAAGTCGGACCTCGACCCCTTACTCCGGCGTCTTGACACGGCCGGGGACGGAAGGGTGTCACTACCTGCTCTCATGCGATGGACTGAGAGGAAGTTCTTGTCGTCCTCTGCTGTCGAAAACGCGGTAAGCACGTTCGAAAGCGTGCAAGGAAATACCAAACTTTTATTCGTGGTTCAACGAAATGCTTCTTTGCTCGAAGTCTCGCAGACCTGCGGTCGTGAAAGACAACATAAAAATAGGTGGTGTTCGGGGAATGTAGCCCCGACATCTGACACGGAAAGATGGAAGAGGCAAGGTCGCCTAAGAAGCACAACTAAACTGTGCCAAAGGTAGTTATCGGGAATTCTGCTTGTGTCAAACGCCAAAGAAGACCCGCTAAGTCGCCTAAAACGTGCATGCGAAGCACAGAGAACCATCGTGGAAGAATTCGATACCGATCGGGTTTTCATTCTGCCGGTCATTCCATAAAAAATTGTAGCACTTCCCCACACAAGATCTCGTAATCTTTGTTGACCGCGGAAACTACCGAAAGTCTGACGTTTGAGGCTAATGATGAGTGCTTTTCCTCGACATCGCAGGCCCGAAAGAAGATTTTTAAGGCAGAAGCAGTAGCGTTGAGAGACGGACAGGAAGGCGCGGTTCCGATTGAACAGGCTTTCGCGGCAGCCGGAGACCTCTCCGACGCTATCAAGGTAAGCGGCGGCACGAGGAACAAGGAGGCAACAAGGATAATGAACGGGCTGTATTCATTGACTATCGAGCGTCGATCGTTCCAAATCCCTTTCTAGGCTTGTTGCGGACGAAAGAAAATCAAACACAGCGTTCACTCTTGCTACGCGTTGCTCGAACCTTTTTGGCGGCTCTACCGACGTACGTACATGGTGGTTGAGAAGTACTGTTCGCGTTGCTCTGCGGCAGCGTCCGCATGTGTTGATATATGAAAGAATATTATTGTAGGACAATTTTCTCCATGTACCTCCGAATCCTTGGCTCAACTTCGAACCAGGCCCTACGGAACGTGCACCTCACGCCCAGAGAGACGGCGGCCTTGGCCAGGCGTTTCGAAAAAGCCGGGGGAGCAGGAATCGACGTTCCGGCAGCGCTGCTATTCTTTGGTCGCGACATTCATTTGCAGTCCAAACCAATAGAGAATGTTGTTGAGCCCAGCGATGGCATTGGGAGTCAGGAGAACAGGGATAGCCAGGGGGAGACGTTACGAGAGAATCTCCAGCAAGAGGAAGACGAGGAAGAGTGGCTAGCCTCGGAGGTCGAGGTTCGTACGTACGATAAACACATATTTGATCATTTCCATGGTACGGATCGTTCGCTAGAATCATCTTGAAGCAGATACTCATGAGGAAGACGCTTGAATTTGGAGATGTCGTGAGGACTGAACGCGAGCTAAGAGTGAACCAACAACAAGCGACGGCGTTGAGAGAACGATGAGTACGGGTGCCTTCCTGTTCCGCAATAGAGACACCTCATTGACCGGGTTGTACCCAACGACAACGTGACAAAAGTCTTGGACCTTGTGAGCGAGTGGAAATAAGTCTATTCGCCAGAGTAGCGTCTCCGCTCGCGTGATGAGATGTGCAGCACTGACAACATCAGCGTTGTGAATTTGCTTGATTCCAAGAAGGCTACATTGTACGTCAGTTTAGAACTGTTTCAGGGTCTCCGGTTCATGGAAGCAGGTTTGACCCCAAGTTGAACAGACTACGAAACGCACGACGGTAGGGCTTTGTCGACGGCCTCGGTGTGTTGAGTGATGCGATCAATTGCAGCTTCATGATTGTGCCGCGTAAAACACCTACCGGACCTCAACCTCTTTCGCACATCGCTCAAATATCTGAGTCTAGTCAATTCCTAAATGTGAACTGGTCCAGCGAAAGCTGAAGAACATCGTGATGAAAGCGGAGAGCATGGGTACGTCACTCGCTGAAGTGTTCGGGGTTTTCGACAAGGATGGGTCAGGGTTCATCACCGCTGCCGAGCTGGAGGAAGGCCTTCGAGAGCTACGGGTGTTCGATACCGTTCCCAGGGATCAGGTGCATTGGCCGTTCATCAAAGTAGGGAACATGGGTGTTTCACCTGAGTATAGTCTTACCAAGCAGTTGGCTAAGACGTACCACAGCTGCACGGCCTTTCAGGCGACACCACCAACATTGTACTAACAGCGAACCCCACGATTCATGAATGGTGTACACATGTTGCAACGTAGAATGTGAGGCTTCTCCAGCCCCCAGCCATTTTTCAGGACGAACGCCTGCTGTTGCGAAAAACAGTTGGTCCCGAGGGCAAGGCCTCCCGTCCACAGGTGGTGAAGCTGCTCGGCCAGTTGATTATCAATCGATTGGAATTTCTGCCGTTCGGCTCCACCGTTTGGTTCACTTCTCGGTGTAGCACAGGGGTACTCTTGCGTGCACAAGAAAGGAGTTGGTGCTAGGGTTCTCGCGTTCCCTGCAATTCTTGTCGGTGCCCCGTTGCAACAGGAAGACGAATCACGAAACCCACAGCGCGCCATAAGTTATCCCTCGTGACGAGTCGCACCTACTCTCGGTCGGCGGAATACACCCGCGCCAAACGAATAGGTAATTTCCTTTGCCAGGAAGCTCAAGAGCTCTTCCTCCTTCTCCGGCCGAGACAATGGCGATGACAGCGAGCTGGTTGTTAGCGCGGAGGAGTTCGTGCGCTTTGTCGGCGGCGAGTACGAGGCCACCGAGGCCGCCCAAGGCCGGCTTCGCAGAGTCCTGCAGCTCGCGGAGGAGAGGGAGGGGGTCACCCTGGAGGCTGCGTTCGGGGCCCTTGACAAGGTGTGGATTGTATTAAAGTGCTACGTCTCCGCCAACACCAACTCAGTAGAGTTGGCGCTCTTTCCGCGTTGCGTCCACCACTCACGTGTTCTCCAATATCTCAACCAACAACGCCTATCAGCTTTGAGCAACCAGCGTGATTAGAAAACAATCTCATTGACACTGGTTTGTTCAGGAAACTTCCCCAACGTCTACTGTAGAGTCAGGTTCTACTGCGATCAAGCGAAATCCTTGCGTACTACGAGAATTTTGGTTTCTGCCGTAGCATCAAGACGTGTTCACTTACTGTCTAGTTAAACTGTTGCAAGCCTGCATGCGAAAGTGTGGCATTTTCAAGCTCAGAACCATGCAATCTAGCACAACAAGGCGCGAAGCTCCTCTGCTTACCGTACCCCCCCCACCACCTCTTTTCCTCCTCATTCATTTGGGTGGCATACCTGGCGACCTGTACTATTCCACGGCAGAACGGTACAGGAAGCATTTCCACAGCTGATCTAGAAGAAGGCCTTCGGCAGTTAAAGGTTTTCGACGGAATGTCCAAGGAACAGGCGTCCCTGGCAACCAGGCGTTTTGACCAGAACGGGGACGGTGTCGTTAGCCTCTCCGACTTCTTGGCCTTCGCCGGAAAGCCGTACTCCGCTAACGATAGGCCTCTGGAGGCCAAACTTAGGAGAGTTCTGCTCAAGGCTGAATCGGTACGACGAGTCTCTGGTTCCAGGCAACGGGCTTGATTGGCTGCATTGCTTGGCGAACGTGCCAGTAAATGACGGAGCTCTTTTCGAGCAGCTTCCCTTGGCGTATGGTTGTCGTTCAGTTGCTTCAAGCGGCCATGCCACTAGGTTGGGCACTTTTCGACAGTAAACACCAAGGTAACCGCACATTATTAACAACGCTGGCTTCAACTGCACGCGATGTTCGGTTTCGTGAAGATGGGCGTATCTATGGAGGAGGCATTCAAGCACTTCGACAAGGATGGCTGCGGCTCCATCACCGCACAGGGCTTCTCTACGGGTCTCCAGGAGATGGGCGTTTTCAAGGAATTTTCGCAGGAGGAGATTGTTGAGGTATGACGCGAGCCTCTTGCTACCCCGTGGGATAGACGTGCCTCGCCGTTAGCGCTGCTGATACCCAATCGCCCCCTGTTCACTACCTCGGTGAAACACAACCACAGGTAGTGTCCAGCTTCGGCGGCGACGAGGACGGCGCCGTCAGTCTCCCAAAATTCCTCCGATTCCTGGGAAAGGAGTACGGAAGAGGTGCCGGTGGGAAGAGTGGAGGAGCAGGGCCGGGAGCGGGGGGGGGGCGATCTTTGGCTGGGAGGCTACGGTTGATCCTCAAGAAGGTTCGATAAAGAAGCGTCGTTTGTTTCCAGTGCTCTCTTGGACTGCTAGCTGGAGGATGTCGCGGTGGACACTGCTGTCAGGAGCGAGTTTTGAGTATAATTAGGACAGGACCTTGGTGCACCAAGCTCAGGCGTCGGTGCGATTTTTTTTTGCGATCTGATGGTGGAAACGGCGGTAATCCTAAACCTTCGAGGCCCCTCAATTCAGAAACTTCAAGCGGCTAGCGCCCATGCGCATTCGGAGTCCTTGTCCAACGAACACTATTAACAGTGGTACGAGCTGAGCAGATGCGCTCCTGTTCGTTTTGCGAGCAGTTTCATGCACATCATATCCCTCCACTATTCATCGGGTGGTGTTGATTCTGGTTGTACCAAGCTTCGTGCTCAAGACATGATGTTGGGATGATCCCTCAACCTATCGCGATTACGCCGAGCTAAGCGGTCGAACAGAACTTCGATGCTCCCAACCTTTACCCTCGGGTAGACCAGTTTCGTCTCAGAAACTTCCGTCGTTCGCCGCCCTCGTATTTCTACCACAGGCAGTCTACAGTAGCCCGTCTCATCCGTAGATCCATCTCTGACCCAGCGCATTCCTCTCTTTTCGGGAGAAGCGGCAACTTGCTTTTTGAAATCCCGAACGCCTTGGGACAGAAAGTCCTAGGTATGGACTCAACTAGACCATTGTCCAGGAAGCAAAGCACAGAAGGCCACACAGATGGCAACATAACTGGCTGAGGGTTGAATTGTTGTGGTGACAAACGGGACGCTTACCCTTTGCTTCTCGGCGGTTGTGGCTACGCGACTTGTCTCAGGCTCACGAGCTCGGAACTCCTTTGTCGGCGTCTTTTGACGGGTTTGGAGCGGACGGGAGCGGCCGCCTGTCCGTTCGGCAGCTTCACGCGGCGCTGAAAAGTATCGGACAGTTTCGTTGGACGACTGTGAGTTCTTTCAATCTTGCTGTCGTCGGAGCGTAAAAAAATGGAGATAGATAGATAGATAGATAGATAGGCAGAGAGAGTAGTGCCAAGTGGGAGGGCGGTTGTCAGCGATTCCAGTCTCATTCTCTACATATTATCCCTTTTCTTGTAGGAGCCAAGATTTGGGGATACTACGTTGACGGCGAGCAACTAGTGGTAGCTGGAACCCTCAACACAAATCTAGTCCTTGATTCGCATGCAAGTTTGAGCCACAACTAGCGGACGAGGACTCAAGTCGAACATGCACAGGGCGGGAAGGCCACAACACAAAGCCCCAAGGGTCGGAGCCTCGGCGTATGAAGACGTCCAAATGAAAACCGCTTTGAACGTAGCCCCAAAGCTCGAGGGGACGGCAGTCCTACCGCAACCTCGTGTGTCGACGCTAGTCTTCAGATTGACCGTGGAGTTTGCTCATTCCTTTCTTTCCTTTCCGCTCTTTCTCGATTTGATAGCTTGGGGAGGTAAAAGGCTTCGTTCGCCTATTGCAGGAAGACGAAGCCGAGGTCAACGCAGCTCGCCGCACCTCTTCTTCTGATAGTGAAGTGTTTCTGACCCTGCCCGTTTTAGAAGCGTTTGTCGAGGGTGGCGACGCGTTCCTGGCCCGGAAAGAAAGAGCCGCGCTGGCCCGGCGACAATCTCAGGAGGCGTTATTGGCTAAGAAACACGCCGGTGCGGAAGCTGCTGCTGCAAGCCCCACTCAAGCCAGCTCGGGCGCGTCAAGCGCTTCTCGTACCCGAGCCAACTCGTGGTTCGCAGGGGAAAATGCGGCTGCCACCGACGCCAATGACAGCAGCGGCGCCTCCGGCAAGGGAACCGAGAACGAGCGGGAGCTGCTGGAACGTTTGAGGGTGGTGCTTGCTAGAGCTGCGGGGAAGGCGAGTCGAGAGGGTGAGGACAGTGACGGCTGCGGCGGTGCGAGCCTGGACGATGGCGGGGTGCGGGGGTATCTTGACTCGTTTGACGTCGACGACGACGGCGTTCTGCGGCCGGAGGAGCTCGTGGCCTCTCTTCGTAGCCTCGGCGCTAGGGGCGGAGAGTTTCATGGGCGGAAGGGGGTCAACGCCCTCCTGTCCCTATTCCGCGACGGAACTGAGAGCCCCGCTGCAGGCGCACAAATCGGGGCGAGTGTCGTGAAGATAGCTTGGTGGTTTGCCGAACAGGCCAGTTCAAAGACAGCATCGGGAAGTGCTGCTGCCGGTGGTAAGTCCTCCTCCAATGTCCGGTCGGGCATGCTGAGGGGCGAGCCCGGCGGCGACCGCGTGAGGGAGGAGACAAGCAGAGTCGGGGCCGGAGATGCGCTCCGACGAGCCGTGGGGATCGCAGAAGCGAAGGGAACGACAATGGAAAGGACGTTTGCTCGCCTGGACGATGACGGGGACGGTTTCATAACGCTAAGGCAGCTGCTTCGGGGATTGGATCAGCTGGGCGTATTTGAGATGGTGACACTTTTGGACACCATGTAGCATTTCAGCAGATTGTGTTACTGGCAAAGATGCTTGCGGGGTGCACTTGCTATTTTCCGTTTGTATGACAGGGACTGGCGATACGTGGTCGCCATTCAGAGGTGTCAAGCGATCGAAGTCAAGGCACTGCGTAACCGCAAACGTGCCACGTCCTGTGGGTCATCAGCTACTGACCAACACGCAGAGACTAGCCTGAGTCCACTACCTTATAGCCTGCACGTATCTGTATTTCCTAACCATAGCATACTCTGACGTGTACTGTCAAATTCTTCAGGCTTCTCGGGACGATGTTCTGGACGCGCTGGACGAACTCGATGCCGACCACCAGTCCAGTCGGTCTTCAAGGGGCCGGAAGGGAGAAGAATCGAAGGACGGCGGAGGGGACAGCGGCACCGGCGGGGTGGACTTGGTCGCATTTATCAGGCTCATGCGCCACCGGCCGCGTCAAGCGCTAGGTTCGTTCAATGCGCGAAGAGATCAGTCCGGAACCCTGCTCTTGATTCTATCTATCCTTAGAACTACATTCGCGCACTCGCGAAAGGAAACGAGACAGCAGCCCCTTTCCTTGCGACCGTTTCACGTTTTGAAGGTAGTCTGCCAAGATCCATACAACTTTTTTTGTCCATGGTCGTCGCCGCCGCATCGTCATGGCACGCTCGGAAGATTGAACAGCAATATCTAAAGTCGACCTTGTTCTGAGTCCATCACGCTAGCCTTGTAGCTCAAAGAAGGCGCAATAGTTGCCAACATGCTGATCTTGCCATCGCTTGGTTTGAACAAGGGATCAGCCATAGAAGACTCCAAACGTTCGTAGGGACGAACTCAATGGACTTTGTATTTCGTTCAAAAAGCACGCGTTGTACCTGACGTTTCACGTTCGAAATGTTCCCCCAAACTCTACCGCCCCTGATCGCCCCTGTGAACTTGTCATTGCAGGCGCTGAGGAGACCAATGGCAGTGATATTGCCCAACAAGAAGAGAAATCGCAGGAGAATGAGCAGGAGGCAACGTACGAGTACTCACTAGACCCGGACACCAAAGCCGCAGAGAAGAAACTGCGCAGGGTGGTCGCAAAACAGGTGTGGGCTGGGAGGGGGTCGATAAATCAACAAGATAGATTGCCTTAGCCTGTGCTCTTCTCGCTGGTGGCCAGGAGAATCAATTGCCGACATTTGGGAGTCCCTTTCAACAAGGGTTTGGCAGCCCGTTCACCCCGTTTGAGCGTACTTGACTCGCGCTTGTTCCCAACTCGTTACCATACAGGTCAGGCTCGGTGTAGACGTGGAAGGAGTGTTCCGGCGTCACGATCCCGACCAATCTGGGTCACTTCTTCGGTCAGACTTCGTACAGGCTGTCATGGAGCTTGGCGTAGGGCTATTGGATAGCTCAAACTCACGGTGAGGTACTCGTATTGCACAACCGTAAGTCGGTTAAATTTGGTGCAACAATAACAATATCAACGCTTGTACTATGGCGTACCGTACGGTGAGTAACTTGGCCTTGGATTGGGCCTAGAGGCCGGAATGCAATGAATTTTCGTCATCCTGCTTGTTTGTCGTATCCGCCTTCGTCAGGCGCGGAAACCGTCTCCCTGGCTCGACGGGCACAGCCGACCCGGTTCGAAGGAGACAGCTCGGACAGCTGGCGCGGGCGAAGGGTCCCGTAGAGCGCAGGCTCATGCGGATGCGCCAGACCAAAAGGGGGCTTCTCTGCGGGGGTCGGCACCCCGACGGGGGTGTTGGAGAAGCGAAGGGGGATGAGCACGCCGTCGATTCGTTTGAGGGGGGGGATGAGAGTCTAGCACTGATACAGTGGTGAGTGAACGGTTTGCGAGCACGCCAGTTTTTCTGTGCTGAAAGCATGAACATGGAGAGGCCTGAGAGGGTGGACTGCGAAATAGTTCTGCGCGAGGAACTCAGCAATGCGTTTCTTGTCTGGGCTACCCCTTCTGAGGGCGGCCATCGCTACTGGGCGCCAACGCATCATTGCCCGGCAACTTAAAGCGCGTAATTCCGTGGTTCTACACAAAAAAGCTCTGCAGCACTTGCATTTTACTTACCTTGACGAACGGGTGAACGAGAGGACATGGTCCAAGTACACGAAATCAATATTATCCACGTTTTCTCCTTCACTTGTTCTCAGGTATCGTGAAGGGCAGAAAAAGTCAATGGTGCGCCATATTATTGCGACGTCTCTCACCACCGAGTACAATCTCTTCTTCGCGTTTGCCAGGTAAGGTAAGCCTCTGCCTTAACCCAGGACATTGCATGAAGAAGTGAAACTGGTTTGCGATAAGGAAGTCCAGGTTGACACAACGTACCTCCTATGTTATCGCACTGGGTTCTAGGGCAGGGAGAGCGTCGTTACTCCTCCGCTCCTGGGTGTGAACTCCCATTCCCACGGACGGAAACGGATTGAGGCTTCCGCGACGCAGATATTTCTTTCGATTTCCGATAAGTTCCCGTTGAACACCCTGAATCCAACCACCTCACCACAACTATGCCTGAGCAGATGCCTGGCCCAAAAGGAGCAGTATGATGTGCCAGGGTTTTGCCGGGCGTGTATAATTTTTTCGACCCGGCCTGCCTCGGCCACGACACCAACCAACAGTTCAACAGCATCGAAATCGTGTCTTCTCGAACGGCTGTTCTGTGCTCGTGTCGAACACAGCCCTCTGTTCTTCGAACACCCTCTTCGGAACCCGTTCAACCACGAGGAGCGGTTCAGAATAGACCTGGATGATCACCAGCTCCGCGTGGTGACCGGCACGAGCGAATGGGCATACCTTCGAAGGTAGGCGTGGGAGTACGACCGACGTGTGGATTTCGAAATGCCACTGAGAAACTCTCGGGGCTCATGCATCGTGCACGACCAACCAGGTCAAATATGTGGCTCCCGCTGTGCCTTTCCCCACTTTCAGCTGGGAAAAACAACGAGAACCGAAATCTAGTCCAGCAGGATCCCTCGCCGCGCTTTCCCGAACGTTTCGTATTGCTCTCCCCGTTCCGATCGGCCACGCACGACCGGCAGGCATGTGTCGCCTTGCGTGGGGGACCTCGGAGACAGTCCCGTCGAGACCGACTTCTTCGACGTCGACCCCAAACGAGGCGTCGAGATAACCCTCATGGCCCACGAGGTCGTCTTCATCCCGTTTGCCTTCCTGTGCCTCGAGCCCCGCGGTGTGATACCCGCGCATTCCACACCCACAAGGCTGAAGCGCTCTTCGAGGGGAAGAGCGGGCGGCACGGACGAGGGCAGGGCAAGCAGGACATCGATGGAGGGGGGAGCGGGAACTGCCGAACGCTCTGTCGTTGTGGGGTTCGTTTCGACATCCCACGGGCACATTGTTAGCGTCATGCAGGTGGGAACATTCGCCAGTGACCCAGTGGTGAAAGCGGTCGACGTTGGTCTGATTCCGGTGGGAGAGTGTCAGGATATTTTCGTTCGTCGCCACAAATCTAGTCACATCCCTCACGAAACCTAGGGTGAAGCGCTTGGTAACAGCGCGGTCATGCACATTTGTCGACGTCAAGATCCATGTGTAGTTGAGAATGCATTGCATCAAAGGGGTCATACCGCAATCCGGTAACACGTCCGTGGCGTGTCGACTGGTCTTGTTGACAATAGGTGCACCTACAGAGGAGGGAATTTGTCGTCAACAGGACATTCAGATTCTACCAAAGCGAGGGAGAGATTTTGAAAAGGTATGTCAAGGGCTCAAACCCACTTTTTTGTGGCGGCAATCGATTCGTGAGTCGGGGAGCTGGCGGGGGGTACGCGGCCGATGTAAGACACGACCCGTTCTAGTGTTCGACTCTGAAAGATTGGATGGGTTTCGCTCTCTGCCGCAACCTACATTCAGTTTTCACTCGCCCCATGGCGCTATACGCACTTGAAACAATGTACGTTGTTTTATGCGTCTACATTCTGTTTCGTAGACTTCCCGGAACTTCCGTGCGCATGCATGTGCAGGTCCATCCAACTACTCCCGGGCGGGGGGCCCAAGCAACGTCTCTCCAAGCACGGCAAGGGATCCCTCGGCGTGGGGGGGGTCTCGCGAGAACCCTACGGTGTGTCCGATGATGGAGGCGCGAAATTCATACACTGCGTGGAGGAGGCGGGTCACCAACAAGGGGGTGATGACAAGGGCAGGGCTGGGCGTGGGGTGGTAATCGAGTGGGCTCGGCGGGCCGCTGCGATGGGAGGTGGTGCAGCGGGTGGTGCCGATGTCCAGGAAGTGCTCGTGAAGTGCAGGGTCGGACAATTCCCTTCGCGGAAGGGGTTTTATTTACTCGTGAGTACGAGGGGGGGTGAAAGTCGTTTTTCAAGCTCTCTCTGACTCCCTCATCGCGTACTCGTTGCCCTGACCATCGCCGAACACACAAGACCTTACGGGGACTCGACTGCGTTGTGCATCGAACGGATCGTGTGCACCGATAACTCTCTTCGCAGGTGTATGACGACCACTACCAGGGATCGCTGTATGAAACGTGGCATGTCATCGTACAGGCAAGGCTGCGGATGGATGTGCATTCCCTGCTTGGACAGCAGAGCCCTGCCGACCTGATTGTACGGGGCGACCGTTACAGTCGAAAGGTCCGAGCATTCTCATCTTGCCCAGCCGAGGTATCGTTCGAGCCGGCGAATGCCTTCCAACTCGTCCCTGGAGCATACAATCGGTGAGATTTGAGAGTATGGCCGGAGAAACCCGCCGTTGTGGACGGTGGCTGGCAAGCGTGAGCGGGCTAGGTACCTCCTTAATCTGTGGATGTAAGCGCCTAATTTTTTGCCGAACACCCATTTTACGACTACCCATTCGGTCGATGCAACTTCTCCACCTTTGAATCAAACGCTATGACAGTTATCCAAACCCATCGCCCCCGTCTCTGCGCCGTTCGTTAGGGTGGAATTACGCTTCCGTCCGCTCTCGACTGGCAGCCGAAAAATCCATGTCCACCTCGTCGATGTGGACTCAATGGAGATAGTCGGCGCCTGGCTCG